AGTCTCAATAATTATTGATACGTGTTGAGCCACATACCATATTTCATGAGCTGATTTATCAGCTACAACTATTCGTAATGGTTTTTCTAATCTCTTCCATTTTTTGATGATATTTCTTTTAGCAAAACATAGCGTTGCTCCGGTGTCTATGTATGCTAATAGTTTTTTCTTTTCAATAGTTACTTGTATAAATGTTGCATTAGGGTTTCCTGATTTTAGTATTTTTCTATTCATTTTCTGAATCAGATGATTCAGTAGTATATGCATATATTTCGATATCAGAGTCGAACTCTGAATCTGATTCGATTGGTTCAAAGCCCATATCGTATGCTATTCGTAATATTTCTGTTTCTTTTTTCTTTCCTTTTTTAGGACATTCATTTGCATAATGTCCCTCTTCTTGGCATAGCCAACATTTACAATTTTTCTTTTTAGTAGGACAATATTTATCTTTTTTATCATAATTTTTCTTTTTATATTGTTTTCTATTCCTGAAGTATTTTTGTGGTATATATTTTTGTTTCTTATATTTTTTGTATGGGATTTTTCTCCATCTTTTATTTCTATTTTTTCGGCGAATAGGTTCACAACCATATTTGCCTACTTGTCCTGATATTGATCCGCAACATAATTTATCAATTTTTGCTTCTTGTTTTCGCTTTTCTTGATTGCATTGAAATAAATGCCAATCTTTTAATGTTGTTATTCTTCCTCCCAAGGTATTGGGGGTTTGTCCTTCGTTTACTTTGTTCTGAAATATAGTTTTTATTTCTTCAGATATTGATAATGGTAGCTTTCCGAAGAATAACTCTTCAGCTACTATTTTCTTATCTGATGTTAATCGATAGTAATGATCTCTGAATTCACAAATAAATGCTTCCAGATAGCACATATTGCAAATTCTAAGATTTACTATTTTCCATAGTGCTATTTCAGATATTTGTGTTTCTCGTAATGGTGAGTCGGAAGTTCTTCCCAGAAATTCCTCACTTATTACATCGATTAATCTGATAAATGTTTCCCATGCAGTTGGTCTAATAATTTTTTCTGCTTTTATTCCTGATGATAGATTTGTTAAATAATTATATACTATTCCTGTTGTTTTATGTTCGAGGTAATTTAACATCTCATGAGGATGTAATTCTCTTAATTCTTTATTAGTTTGTATTAATAAACTTGTTCGATTTTTCCAATCTTCTAATGTTCTTAACGGATTAATTTCACAATCTAGATTTAATATTTCTAGTGATTTTACGTTAAACGTATCGTATTTCGGGATATATTCAAATGGAACCTTTCTCCAATTATTTTCTTTCGGAATATATTGATTTTTATATAATTCATATTCATAATCTTTGTATCCTTGATATTCATCATGTGTTCGTTTTTTAGGTAATGTATTTTCGTTACTAGTTCCTCCCCTCTCTAGATGTTCAGTTTTGACTAAAAAAGGATTGTCGTAAGGACTTTCGTAGGGATTTTCATCACTACTATAGTCTAAGACAATTTTTTCAGTTTCATCTGGCTGTTGTTCTTCGGGTATGCTGAGAGCAGCTAATAATGTTGATAGTTTTTCTATTTGATCATCTAATCCTTCCATTATATTTTAGGTGGTGGTTTAATTCGTAAATTAGATTGATCAATAATAATTAATTCTTTTGTTTCTTTCTTAAAGTGATCTTGTAGATCTTTTATAGTAATATATTTGTTTTGATTTAGTCGTCCGGTTATCTCTTGTAATTGATCTATTATTTCTAATATTTTTGGTTTTTCATCTTCGTCCGGATTTATTATTTCTTTTCCTTTATTTTTTGCAATAATATTTTGTATTAATTCTTTGGCATCATTAAGTTCTTTTATTATTTGGATTTGTCGGTTATTATAACTATAATTATTTGTTGTTGTGAGTATTTCTTTTATATTTAGTAATAATTCTTTTATTTCAGAAAATGTTTCTCTAATTAATTTTTCTATAGTTTCCTTCATAGTTTCTGTCATCCTATTATTGTTTTAATATATTCTTTTAATTCTTCAGAGTTTTGTTTTATTTCCTTAATGCTTTTTTCTTGTAGATATATTATTTCTTCTAATTTTTTGTTTATATTTTTAGTTTCATCTTGTTTTTCCTGATTTTGTTCGAATATTCCTATTAATCTTTGTAATTGATTTTCTAAGTTTGATTTTATATTTTCAATATTTCTTTTTAATTCTTCATGATTTTCTGGATTTTGATGTATGATTCCATAAGAAATCATTTCAACAATATTATTTAGGGTGAATCCTATTTTCTTTATTTTATTTCCGAGATTATGATTAGTATCATAATCAAAGATGGTACCAATATAATATCGGCTTTGATTATGAAGATTTTTTGGTATTGTTATCACTTTTCCTTTATAAGGGAATCCGGGATAACACTCATCTTCATTTGTTAATATTAATGGTAATCCTTTTGAAAAATCAATTTTTTCGTTGTCCATAATCGTTGTCTGGCTCTGATACCAAGTTAAAAATTGTCAGACTAATATTTAGTCAGACTGGTCATACCGTTTTGAATTGGTCATACTCAAATTTTTGGTCAAACTAGTCATTATGGTATTTTTGTAATTTTGTTAAAAATGTTGGTTTTTTGGGAAACCCTAGAGATTCTAAGGTCATGCTTGTTACTCTTGTCATTTTTAAGGTTATTTTTGTTATTTTGCCCATTTAAACTGAATATTGAGATATAAAATAATTGCAACCATTATAAAAGCACGGTCTGAAGACGTTTGGTGTTTATTTCACCCGTCTTTAGTGGTAAAAAAAATTGTACGTTTGGAATAATAAAACGAATATTATAAAATATAATTTGAGAATTAGGGGTCGAAGTCGATGCCTAACCTCGTGGAGTGATATTCGGACCACGTCTGGAAAAAAGGTTGACTTTTCGAAACTCCCGTGTTGCTCGTTGACTATTTTGCCCTTTCCCAATGGAAAAATCAGAAGAATAATACATTCTCCAAATCTCTTAAAATTATTTACGTACTTCTTACCTTTTTAATTGATGGAAAAATACGTGATTTTTTATTTATCCCAAATTTTAATACGAGTATAAATAAATATATAATGGATTTAAAGCTAACATATAAAAAAATATATCATAAGATTAATTAACATATCATGCTTTAATTTATTTATTAATTGATTGATTTAACGCAACAACTACTCACCAGTGATTGGCCAACTTCGGATTCTGAAGCGTAAAAAGTAAGCTTGTAAACGTGTGTATATATATAAGGTATCCATACGCTACGCATATACGTATATGTATATAGAGAGGCCAATTGCGTAAGCTTGACGGAGAAGAAGATGGAACACATGTGGTCAAAGTTCAGAGATTGGAAGTCAAAGCATGTGCTGCCACATGCCGACGACTATAGATTCGGTGGTTTTGTTTCCGTATTCAAATGTTTGTAATTATAATATAATATTGCCATTAAAAAAAATAGATACATAATGAATGAAGCTATTTTCTTTTGGGTATGTCGTTATTAACTATAAAGACAATGTATGCACGATTGTGTATGTGTATGTAACAAGTTTATTCCTCATGTATGTGATGATGGATTTTCTTTTTTATAACACAAACTCTGCATACTTGTGGATTTTCTAATTAATTTATTAAGATAAATATAACATGAAAAAATAGAATTAATGAAATGAAAAAAATATGTAATATATTATAAACATGAAAAAATAGAATTAATAGAATTAATAAAAAATATGTAATGAAATGAAAAACATGAAAAAATAGAATTAATAAAAAATATCATAAATGAAATGAAAAAAAAAATCTTAAAAAATAGTCTGGTTAAAGCAAAAGACAATATTATATATATGTAATATATTATTTATTGAACACAAATACTCTTGTCATCAATCAATAAATGTTTGCAAAAACAAATGGGCCGAAAATCAGTGCAAATATTGATGGGCCAAAAATACTTCGGCCCATTTTCATAACCGGCAAGAAAAGCTTTGACCAACGTAATGGCGAAACCGAAAGGAAAAAAAAGAACATTGGATTTTTCTTGTCATAGAAAAAAGTACATTTCATTGATAGACAACAAACATTTATTTTGAATCCTTAGAATTAAAAAAAATCAAGAATATATAACCATTTTGGACGAAAGTTTTATTTCACGTGACATTCTTATTATATCGAGTAACCAAATGCAACTAAACGTGCACATAGTTACATTGTCTTGGACCGTTAACAACATTTTACTATAACACAACTTAGATAATTCAACCGATTGAAAAAAGACTTAAAGTGTGTATCCCGTTTTGAGTTCGAGTTTCAAGTTGGAGAGAAGAATATAATTCTAATCACATGCCTTGTTTCCGCCTCCGAATTTAGTCTAGACATCATACACATGTTACTAAAAAAACATTTTACTATGATAAGATTTCAGGGTGCATCTTGCATCTGTTCTTTAGTTCTCACTGCTTCTTACACATATACACTGATTTTCTTGTTTTTCTTTTTGAAAATTACAAACATACACTAATTTTCTTGGTATACGTCGTTATTAACGGTAAACACAACGTACGAGCCACCATGTGAGTCTCCGCCCATTTAATGCCAAATAGGGCCATTGGGCCGACCAGACATCGCGAACATGCATTGAGAAGGGAGGAATCCAGCTTTTATTGGTCACGTCCAACAAAAAAAAAAGGACGAAACAATTGATTGGTAGAAAACAACCGTTTATGGAAAAAAACTATGTAACAAACGTTTATTCGACATGTTTTCCTTATTTTATAGAAGGAAAAGCGTCCATAGCCATGCAGTTGCATTGCCTTGGACCGTCGGTAACGTTTTGTGTTTATAATTCACCGAAAAAGCCCTCAGATTTCTCTTGATAATTATGATCTCATCTCGTTTGGTATACATTATCCACAGAAAAGTTCACTTAATTTCTCTTTCGTTATTGGTTTAACATCATTGTTATTCGATATAAAGAATCAAACTTTTATTGATATTCGATTGGATAATGATGCTATATATAGAGAGACATGACTCGGAACATATATACGCGGCAGAAGAAGCAGACAGACGCAAACTCTTCAAGATTTGGTTTCTTGGTAATTCTTGAATCAATCTTGAAGAAAAAGAAAAGATCAAGACCTAATCTAGCATCTTTGACGGGAAAAAAGGAACTAATCTAACAGTGAACTCCGTCCTCATCATCAAACACCGAGGCAGGGAAAGACTTGCTCAGTCCGGATGGGATCTTGAAGGTGACCTTTCCCTTTGTAGGGTAATCTACAACCATCTCGTTGATGGGTATCCACAAGAAGAGCTCTTTCCCCTTGCAGCCAGTTAGGTTCTTGAGCTTACCCTTCTCCACCACGGCCGTGATCTCGTTGCCGTAAGACACAACTTTCCCGATCTTATGGAACTTGTGGGTTATGCTTTGTTTCAGTTTCAGCCACATGAATCCCGTCTCTTGCTCATAACCGAACTCTTCGATGTCCTTCAATGGCAACAACCCATTGGGCACGCCCAATTCCTTGAAGAAAAGCCTCGTTTTCTCTCTGCACACCTCGTTTCCTCTGTACACTTGCGCCTTTGCTCTCACTTCTTCTTCAACCCAAGACATGTTTTTTTTTTTTTTAATTTGCTCTTTTATGGACGCAAGTCTTGGAATTGTAGATATAGGAGACGGGGTGTGGCTTTGCCCTCGGATTATCATCCTTATTGCGAAAATGCCACCAAAAATCTATACAATGAAACATCATATAGTTGATTATTTATACAGTGATGATGGACCTTACATGGTTTCAGACATTAGAACATGAGACTGCCCTTTACTTTAAATTTGATTTAAAACACGCAAAACATGCAAAGATTCCTTTTTCAGTAGCATAAAATTGATTTGGAGAATGTTATAAAATGGATATAAAGTCATTAGAAACACAATTAAAAAAGCAAATCTTTATTTATGAATTTGTAAGAGATTGTGTAACACACATTGACATTACAAATTTACCATAATGTACGTGTAAGAAATAAATAAATGGAAAAGGACATGATTTCCACATCACGTTTTTTTAAATGGTTCGAATGAGCCCACAAAAGATAACATAATATTAAATATTTTCCGCATGGCTTTTTTAGATATAACTATGAATAAAGCTCATCTAAGCGAAAAAGGTTAAAATTAAATCATTAAGCATAAAATTTGTATAATATTAAATATTTTCTTCGTGTGATATTATCGTGAATGTCATAAGGAAATTTGTTTGGATTTTTTTTACATATTATCGACATGTTCTTGGATTGTGCGCATAACTTTTTAAAAGGGTCAAATTCAAAGTGGTCACTCATCTTCCTTCCACCCTCTCACAATTCTTTGATGATGATGATGATGATGATGATGATGATGATGATGATGATGATGATGATGATGATGATGATGATGATGATGATGATGATGATGATGATGATGATGATGGGGTGTTTTCATGAAAAAATTCCAATTTATTTTGATTCTCGCTAGCATTTTATAAAAAGATATCAGGAATGAAATGAAAAAAACTTAAAAAATAGGTATGTTAAAGCTTCACTATCGGTTGGAGGGTTTGATCTAAGAGTATTGCAACACACGAGAAACTCGGTTTAAATGAAGGGTAAAAGTGACATTTCTCGTGGAATTGTGTTTAGGAGAAGTTCGTCTTCATTGTTGCTCAGTTTTTCAATTCGTTCTGTAAAAGGCATCAATTCTTCAAGCTTCTAATCCAAGCAGCTGCGATAAAAAATCTCTCCAACCATAGAACGAATACATTGTTTGATCATATGTCGTAATCCTGTGTCCAATTTACTTTTCTATTCGTGCATTCGATCGAGAGAGAGATGTTTGATTTGAAGATCTATGCGAGCTCGTTTGGAGAAAGATCTGATCAAGATTGATGATCGAAGTTTATAACAGGTACGACACCTTCTCTTTATTTTTCTTTCTCAAATCGATTGAGAATGAGAGGAATCTTGATTTGAATTTTTATATTTGTTAGATTTGGAAAGATGACGGAGATCATGGTCTGAGATTATCGGGGTTTTAGGTTTGTAATTCCGACAACTCTCTAAAAAATGTTGCATTTAGGGAGAAGATTTAGCCCCAATGGAATTCATGTTGACGATGCAAAGGTATATTTTTTCAAGACCATAGCTAATGAGATGGGGTTTCAGGATTCCTGGGTTGGTAAATGTGAAAGAATTGCTACATCCCCTCTAGTTCCCAAGTATTTTGGATTTGGGTAAAATAGTAAAGGTGAATATAAAATAATAGGATTTAGGGTTTAACAGAGAAAAATATTATGATTTACGGATAAAATATTTGTATGATACGTTTCACGTACAGTTCGCATTTAATCTCGTATTTCTGAAGTTATAAATCTTGAAATTGTTGCTAATAAAGTAGGTAATTTGGAAGATTTCGTGAAAATTTCTAGAACAATAGAATTCCGTGCATTAGTCTTCAACAATGATTTATAAACAATGTGAAAGATTTTTTTTTTAAATTGCAAAAGAATGAAAAAATAAAAAATGAAGAGAATATTTAATTGAAACGGATTTCATGTTGACCTGTGCATACCAAACGAATTTTTATATTAAAATCACATTAGATGATGATCCGCGCAATGCACCTTTTTTTAATTATAAATTTTATTGATATTAATATAGTAAAAATGATATAGATTGTTTATTATATGTATAAAAAATATATATGTAAGCTTTAATTATTGTAAATCATCATTATATTATCTATATAAAGAATATTAAAAAGTAAAATTGTGAAGAAATATAAGTGTTATTGTCTACATGTTGGATAGTTTTGATGTCAATAATTTGCTATGAACATTCTTAATTCCATTTTTTTTATTCGATCTTTACAAAATATTTAGTTAAAAGATAATAATAAAATTGATATTGTTAGATATTTTGTAGATATGATTTTTTTGAAAATGGTTAAATTTATATATTTGACATGAAACTTTTTTTTGATGATGTTGAGTTGTGTATCCATATAAATCTTTATTTATAATGATGTGTTTAGCATGTTTTCTAAAAACTTTAGTTAACTTAATATAATAATGATATTATTTTTTTAAATAAATCTATTAAATAATCTATAGATTTGTTTGTGTTATAATATTTATCGTTGATAAGTTTTGGATTTACACTATTAACCATTATAATAGTTTTTTATGATATTCACTCTTTATATTTGTGAAAAATCTCTATTGTAAAATTAAAAAACCTTTAAACATAATTATTTATATATAGATTAATTTCTTCTTATGAAGGATCTCGGACTGAATAGAATTCACGTCGACATCAACATGATCTTAGGGGTTATAACAGGAGAAATTGGGTGTTCTAGTACAAAGATTGAATGTGAGAATCGAAGTCTGCGTTTGAAGGAAGATTTGAGCAGTTGATCAAAAGGTGAAGTTAGAGTCTCATGATGAAATCTGGAACGCTTGATGATATCCCTAGGTTCCACATCAATTTTAGGAATCTGAGCTTCTTCCTCGACAAGCAGAAACGTCTGATTGTTTTCTATGAAGAAATGGATGATATAGGTATCGATGAAAAAAAATAAGAATTCAATAACGGACATGGATGTGGAAGGAGAAATAGTTATGCACACAGATGATACATATAACGAAAGTGGAGAAATGCGTATGATGAAGATTTATCAGAGGATCTTCACTGCAAGTAGGTTGAGAATCAAACTGACCAAACATAAAAACGACAAGATCGGTATGCACCATTTTTTTAGGCTAGTCAATAGTTTTGTCGGCGGGTTACCCTATCTTCCTAGTCAACAATCTCCTTCATAAATGAAGGGCTTCACATTTTTTTTCTTTTTCTTTTGGACAGTTTGATGAACGGATAGGTCTTAAGTGATTTCTGGATTGTTAAACAGATTATATAATTTAGGGGCAAATTCCGTGCAATTTTTTTTATTGATTATTGAATACTTAACGAGGGGCCAAAAAACAAAGGTTCGGAGCTCGAAGAAGACGATAATTAAATGTGTGTGGAGAATGAGGTTCAAGACCATGTCAAATCACGTCCATTTGTTCTTTCGGGCGATGTATGCATACTGTGCTTTTTTGTTATCGAAAATGATAAGAAACTCGTTGTCTGTTACGAAGATGACACCTGCCATCCCGTAACCCAAAGGTTGTTCATCATGGATGAAAATCTATCGTCAGGTCTACCCTTCTCCGTTTGTTGGCCTTGGACTCGAAGATTACACTATTTGAAGGTTTCTTGTCGTCATCAACGAGCGCCACTATCTTATACCGATCTTTACTATACCCAAATCCAAAGTATGGATTTGCCGAAAAAGAAGTTGCACCAACTCTTCTGCATTTTCTATTCCAGGGATTCCAGATCCCCATCTCCCCACTTACGGTTTTGAAGAAGAGCAAACCCTGTCAGGTCAAGATAAACTCCATCGGATCTAAATCCCCTTCTATGGCGAAATCTTGGGATTCCAACGTCCCCTTCTGTGCCCAATGGGTTATTGCCATTGAATGCGTTTGACTCTTCTCATATCCCCTTTGACATTACAAGGTGACAAACCCAAACCAAGCTCGGAACAAACGCAGAGACGACGCAATGTATCCTTTTCAAATCATGAGTACGCTCCCCGATGGGGTATTACAATATGCAAGTAAAATATTTGTATGATATGATCCATACACCTTTCAACCGTGCATTTTCCGTTTATCTCATATTCCTAAAGGTATAAATCCCAAAATTATCGTTGATAAGTTAGGTAATTTGAAAGATTTCGTGAAAGATTATAAAATAGTAAAATTTAATGTATCAGTCTTCAACAGTGTGATTTATAAGTGATGTGAAAGAGTTTTTTAAATTGCAAAGGAATGAAAAAATAAACTCAAAAATAACAAGTTTGATTCGAATGTTCATTCACGCATGTAATTGAAAGCATGATTGTTTGATGATATCCTCAGGGTTGTTACCAGTTTTGTACATTCAGGCTTCTCTATCGATCAGGGTGGGCGTATGATTGTTTTTTACGATGAGATCAATGATAAATATACGAATGAAAAAAGATATGGAGACAACAGAGGACATGGATATGGAAGGAGAAAAAGTTATGGTGACAAATGATAGATAGCGAAAGAGATGCAGTATGAAAAATATCAATGGGGTAAAATGATCAAACATGAGATGAGAGAAATAGGTATGCGTTATATTTCGATAGGAAACGATAATTTTGTGACGGCTTAACTTATATTCTGAGTCTATATTATCTATAAGCAAACTAAACTTGAAACATAAAGAGTGTATATCAATACCAAGACTTTCCTCACCTATTTCAATACCTCATCTTTTACCGCGATAAAAACCCTGTACTATTAATGTTATCGTCTTTTTCAACCAAATAACACACAACAAGCTTATTATCTTTGTCAATGAAGAAGCGTGAACTTCAAATACCATAACAATTGAGTATGGATTTTTAATCGAGGTTTTAAGAGAGAAAAATATTGTGATATGTGGTAAAATACTTATATGATACATTCAATAAACCTTTCAAATGTGCAATTCTCGTTTAATCTTATATTTCTAAATCTACAAATCCCAAAATTGTCCGTGATAAAGTAGATAACTTGGAAGATTTCGTTGAAGCTTATAGAACATTAGAATTCCGTGCATTAATATTCAACATTGATTTATAATTGTTATGAAAAAGTTTTTAAAATTACAAAAGAATGAAAAAATAAAGTCTTGTTTCGATTCATCACACTTGAATTAAAGTGTTAAAGGGGAAGATTCGTTCTGGCTAGTAATTTATCAAAGTCAACGCCATACTTGTTTTTCAGTTTGATGAGCAAAAATGTATTGAGAGGAAAAGAGATAGAATAAGACGAATACTTTGTTTAGAAGTGAAAACATATGCATAACTTCTTCTGGTTTGGAACTAATTTACCGATGTGATAAGTAAATTTAAGTCAAAATTTGTATTTCCTTTTTTATGTGTATTACTCTAATATATATACATATATCTCATTATATGTACATCACGGAATCAATGGTTTACATCATAGAATGAATGTGTTTTTGTATATTAATTATACAAGAACATGTGAACAAATAATACGTATCATTAGAACGTTTGTAACATGTATTCAAAAGATTGTTTAAGAAATTGAGTTTACCATATTGTTCATAATTTCTTAAATAGTCGACGATTGAAGCATAGTGATGAAATTTCTTCTCTAAACTCTATAAAGTATTAGGTAGAACTATTACACGTCGAAACTATATTAGTTGTTTTTAATTGTTTTCTAATGTTTTCCTCCGAAGCAATTTTTTAATAAATTAACATTATTAGTATATAATTTTTATCACTAATATAAAACCATATAATTTTTTGCTCAAACATTATTAGTATCCAAGTTTCTTATAAACCATATTGACTAGTTTGTTTCGAATGTTCATTCACGATTATTATTAAACATGATATTTTTCATGTGCTGCGTGTGCCAAAGTTCGGGACAAATTCGCAGCATCCGAGGTTATACGAAGGGTATTTTTAACTTCATTCTTTTTTTTCTCTCTAATATCTAGAATATAAAAAAAAACATGAATTTTCGAGAATATAAATAGATGGAAATTCATTGCATTGATTTAATCTTACTCGGAAACTGTTTTCTTCATATATATATACACACACACGAGACCTAAAAAGTTGTTCGCTGTCAAAGTGAAAACGAACCATGGATCTAAATTCTAATTAATATATAATCAATACAACGATTTCTAATAGTATGGTTTATTCTTATGTGGATTTTGTGTTTAATGTGTAATCAAAATAAATCCTCCATCATTATTGAAAAGATTTCTCTTAACACATGAATTCACGTTTATGCGCGCACTTATTTATTTCTTTATTGTGGTGTGTGTGCGCATCTGCATGTATATTATTATATTAAATTTTGTGACGCTTATTTTATAGTTTTATATAACCGAACGTAATGGTATAAATTTAGAGTCAATTAATCTCCAATAATGTGATGCAGTAAGGTCATCATCACGAGGGGTTTCGCTAAAGCACACGTGGAAGCTCGTGGAGTGCGTGCGTGTCAATGCCGCCGTGGCAGGTCATTATCATTATAGAAATTCGAAAAAAAAATACATAGGCGATTTCATAATGTAAACATACTTTAGTAAATCATTATTACAAAAAAAAATAAAAAGTAATTAACAATATCGACCGGGGTTTACGTGGAAGAAGTTAGGTTGCATCCCAACAAGAGACATTTCAAATTAAGAATAAATAATTAATTAATGGGTTGTTTGATTAGACAAAACACGCAATTAAGAACACTATTAACATAGAAAGATTGTAGATAATCTTAATTAATATATTTACTTATGGATTAGATTTCAAAGTCTTATCTCATTTAAACCAATCACCATTTTCTTTTATTGTTTTATATTACACACATATCGATGCGTCTTAAGAATGTCAATATGTAATAAAATATATTGAAGGATTTTTTTTTAATCAAATGGTAACAAAAAAAGGATTGATTAAATGCATCTTAATGTATGCAGTAATTATAAATTCAAATTGTTTTGTAACAATGATATGCAATGGACATAGACGAGTTTGGCCCAGCAATTGTGTGTACGAGAACGTCATCCTTATCTCTAGAATTTCATTTCCGTTATTGTCCATTCAACCTAATTATTACAATCTATGGAAGATAATAATTATCCTTAATTAGTAAAAGGAATATTATGAGTCGTCGGTCCAAGAGATGCACACATTTACGTAACGATCTTTCCAAAACTTCCAATCAATTTTTTCTTTTGGAAAAATAAGATGCAATTGAAAAAAAAAATATGAGAGTGACACTTCACTTTTGCCATCTTATATTTAACAAAAGTTGAATTTCAACTGATTATTAGTGAATAATTAACCATTGTTTGCCAATTAAACTTACGTTTTCTCTACTAATTAAATATTAACTTATTTTATTTGAGGAATTTTTATGTGAAATCACCAAAGAGGGTAAGTTATAATTTCGATATCTACACACATAATTAATATTATTCACTATATTAACTTAATATATCAAATTTATCATAATTATAAATTGTATATCCAATACATAAACACGTTGGAAAACGCGTAATATAATATAAATTATTTGTCTGGATGAGTGAAAATGAAATAATAATTGGAGTATGATGCTTTGGGGTAATGAGCCACCGTGTAAGGGATGACGTGGAGAAGGTGGAGACAAAAGCGAAACTAACCAATCAAATGTAATCTCCAAGAACCCAGCTGTCTGTTTTGGGCCCCACTTCTCAAACTAAAACATTATTCACGAACAAACTATACAATACATGCTTATATTTTAGAATGAAATATCACATGATTGAAAAAATTAATAAAATAAGTTATTTAGAAACAAATATTTTTAAAATCAATATATCATACATGAAAATTCAATAAAAATTTTTGTATTCAATTTTATAAAATTTTAAAATTAAAGTAAAAAACAATTTAAATACAACCAAAAAAACAAAAGATTGAAATTTCTCGTTGATATATGAATTATTTAAAGATTTGTCCATCCACTGCTCATACGACATGCCTAAGTCTGCTGACGGCATATGTTTGTTAGTTTCAAAAAAAAAATATTGTTATATTATATGGAAATAAGAATTTTTTGTTTTTAAATCTCAATTTATATTTGTTTTTCACACTAAACGACAAAAACCTGCTAGGCATAAATTGGGGTCCGAGCATTCTCCCAAGAATTTCAATCCTTTGCTCACTTCCTTGTCTCTAAGTAGCAAAACTCCAACTCTCCTTGTCAATCGTTCCTTCGAACCCCCCAAGATAAAAATATTTTTATTCCATATCCGTGAAAAGAAGAAGATGAGCAGAGACCCAAGATCGAATTTACCACCGGGATTTCGATTTCATCCAACGGACGAAGAACTCATTCTCCATTACCTAAGGAAGAAGGTATCGTCTTCCCCTGTTCCCGTCTCCATCATCGCCGATGTCGACATCTACAAGTTCGATCCTTGGGATTTACCCGGTAATAACCAAAAAAACGCTTCACATCTTCATCAAAAATACACATTTTATAATCATAATCACATCAAACGAATGTTTATATATAAAAAATCTCAGCTAAAGCACCGTTCGGGGAAAAAGAATGGTATTTCTTCAGTCCGAGGGACAGGAAGTATCCGAACGGAGGACGTCCAAATAGGGCGGCGGCGTCCGGGTACTGGAAAGCGACCGGAACGGACAGAATGATCGGAGGAGACGAGAATATCGGAGTGAAGAAAGCTCTCGTGTTCTACAAAGGACGTCCTCCAAAGGGTGTTAAAACCAATTGGATCATGCACGAGTACCGTCTCTCCCAAACCCTCTCTTCCAAGCAGCGGAACCGCGTCAGCAATGGCGGTGATCAAGCCCTGAAACCTCCTCAACCATCTTCTATGAGGGTGAGCGGTTTTTTAACTCATGGGTTTTGCTTCGTTTCTTCTTTTAACTCGTTTCCTTTCTCTGCCTTATAATTCAGCTTGATGATTGGGTCCTTTGCCGGATTTACAAGAAATCTCAAGCTTCGTCGTCATCTCCGGCGGTGAACGCGGCCACGAGCGATCAAGAGCGAGAAGACGATGAAGAAGAGACCCTCTTTCCAAGATTGCCTCAGTTAACGACCTTATCATCTGTGGCCGTTAATGACAATACCCTTAAGCCGCAGAGATCTTGTTCCTTCTCCAACTTGCTGGAGACCGGAGATTTGTCGTTCCTCGCCAGTTTTCTAGCGGAGAATTCGGAAAATCAGGCAGAGTTCGAGTTCCAGTTCCCATTGGTGTTTGGCTCCTCGGATTTGGATCAGGGGAACGGTTGCTTGGGTCAGAAGTTACCTCAAATGACCTCTCCTCCTCTCGAGAAGTTCGGGGTCGACAACAAACGACAGAGATCGGGTTTGATTGAAGACACGATGAACCCTTCGAAGAAAACCTGCAGTTACAATAACAATACGGAACACTTCGACAATGGTTTTACGAAGCAGCAATTGTTGTTGAGTAGTCGTCACCTTCAGTTCCAAGGTTGATCCGCTCGGCTCTGTTTTCCATCCCTCTCGCAAGGCTGAGAGCCGAATATGGAAAGTGGACGAGAAAACGAGAATTAGGGAACAAATTAAGCGTACGACGAAAGATGTACGGAAACTTGATCATGGATCTTGTAACATTTTTAAAACTAGTTTTGTTGTCTTTTTTTTTTTTTTTTTGCAGTTCGGTTCCGAGTTCATCAATCAAGTGGGAAGTTAAGTTCATATGCTTCGTTTATAATTCGTGTCTTTAAAAAAAACTATATATTAGATTTTAGTTAACAATATATATATATATATATATATATATATATATATTCTTGTATTTGTATTAATGGGTCTCCACTGAAATATCGGATTTCTCCATCATAGTTTGTGCACCCAACAATAAAGATGAAATAACTCCATCTCGAAATTCTTGAAATGTTGTCTGCCCATGAGTTTGTGCGCATATACATATACATATACATATACATATATATATATATATATATATATCGTCATACATTTTGGGGTAAGGAACAACTCGTTTTCCCACGTTGTTCCGGCAAGGCACGTATCCATAGCTTGGTAATAATCAAGGCGATATCACAAATGATTATTGTATAAAGGACATGACATCATCATCATCATCATCATCATCATTATTATTATTATTATTAAAAAGGGGATGATATGTCCCATATATGATTGTGGTGTTTCGTAATCCACGTGTAGATTAAATAACGAATATATTATTGGGGGTCTTTTAGACCTAAACAGATCACATCCACGATTACTTGCACACAACAAATTGGTGAATAGTTACAAAAACCCACAGTAAATTTACCATCTCATTTTATTGGGTCCCTTTTTATAATAACTTTTTTTTTCTAAAATGAAACAAACAATAGAAAGTATATATATATATATATATATATACAATTAGGAAGAAATGGAAAAACTGGCCTTAAAGACCCAATAGTGAGCAGCCCATATTGGACATTATATGGCCTTAAACCGGTCCATATGTTTTGGATCTCGTTTAATCATCAGTGAAGTCAAGTGATAGTGTTTCTATACATATATCATTCGGATAACTAAATTCGGTCGATATATTTGTTTTTTAAAAAACAATTATTTGAGAGAAAATTTTCAAAGATACGATCTCCATTTTAAGAAATATGATATGAACACGAGGAAAAAGGGACTTTTTTTAATAAAAAAAAAAACCCGGGCTTCTTGGTGAAGCTAGATTCTATTTTCCACGAATTATTGGAGAATCGTTTGAATTTAACGTGTAGAATAAAGCAACACGATATTTGTTCACAAAAAACAGGACATATATACACATGAACACACAATTTTCGGAGGGAATCTTATTTTCCTTACTTTCTTCAATAAATTTTTATTTATTTTTTATTCCGTATAGAGACAATCCAAAACATGAAACATGGACATTTCGCATGATTACCCAACTTTCATTGAATGCCTGTTCCCGTTATATTCGTTTGATTTATAACGAAGAAAACAAATAAAAAGAAAATAACGAAAGAAAATCTAGTTGAATAAAAAATATAAAAAAGACGTAAAAAAATTAATGCACTAAAGGGGAAAAAAAAGGAAAATGATTATACCAATCATGCAGAAATAAATACATAGATCTCTCGTTGGACGAGCTAAACAACATGTGACGTGACACTTTGCTTACAACCATGCAAATTATTCAGAATTAACTCTCATTTGAATATTCTAACTATTACCCTCTAGTGATTATATATATATATATATACATGTATATATATATATATGTGTGTGTGTGTGTCTGTAAAAAAATGTAGAAGGAAAATGATTACGAGAGACGTAGGCCTTTTTTTTTTTTGATAATCAGGTGATCCCACGTCCAAAGGTTCAGACTAATCCTGACCCACGCGTATGATTCTGCAACACACACGTGGGATGTGAAACACCCGTAGGTGACAGAAGGGGAATCTCCATACTCTGGATGTTGAACCCACGACCTCGTTTACAGGAAAGGGACTCTCAAACCAACAGAATTGGGGGATTCCCCCTGATTAGATTTGATACTCTCTATCCATAATCTTATGCAATTATCTGCACGTATATACACGTTTTCATTTCTCAATACGACGCGTGTGCATCAACGTTCGTTCATATTTAATCGAAACTTTTTATGTACCGTGGTATGCTTTGAAAGTTTGTAATAATCATGTATTATATATTATCTGATATATACACACACACATATGTATATACATACATGGCATGTATAGGGAGAGAGGGACTGCTGTACATGACAGAAAGGTCTAGTCTATTAAAAAGTACCAACGAAACACATATAAAGAAAGAGTTAGGCAAATTGAATTTTTAATTATCAAACTCAAATCTTAATTAATAAGGCAATCATAGATGACAAACAATTAGATTAAAAAAGATTATCCTTTTTCTCGAGGCGACATAAGACTACGCAATCGTCTAAAAATATACATGTATACTTGTATATATATAGGATAGTAGGTATAATTTGTAGTTGAATCGAAGTTCATATGAACTTTCGGATTATAAGAAAAAAAATGATAGATCTAATCGCTTTATTTGTACGATCAATCGATTTAACGGTATGTTTGATTTTTTAAAATATTTAATTTATCATTTATTAATTTTTTAGATACATATTATTCCTTTGTTTCTCAACGGATTACATGATAAATAAATTATGTACACTTGTATATTTTCAAGATTTCAGTATATTTCACCTCGGAATCAATATTCTATGGCATTATATATATTTATTGGGTTAGAGCAATAATTTGCATTCCTACCAACAATAACAATTACACCCTAACTTGTCGCAACTACAACGATCTGTCTCAGAATATGAAACAAATAATTTCGGGTTTATATTTTATTTGACAATGGTTTATAAAAGGTGTGGTCCACTTGATTCTCAAGTCTACACTATTTTTAAATTAGCGAGTTTAACTTATAAGAATTCCAATTCATACATAAATATATAAATGCTCTCTCATAAAAAAAAATATATATATATATATTGTAACAGAATTAATATTCTCTGATATATTAGGTTTAGAATAGAGTACGTATATATATATTACATTGGGTAGAGATATGACTAACAACACTATCTACATAATAGGAATACTTCCTATTGTGAATAATATTAAATTATTTCCATATCGTCCAATACGCCCCCTCAAGTTGGAGCTCCGGAGGTGACTCCAATCTTGACACAGAGGTCATGAAACGCGGTGCGAGGAAGCGGCTTAGTGAGAACGTCGGCGAGCTGATCCTTGGAGCTGACATGAAGAACACGAAGTGTACCGGTTTCAACTTGACCACGAACGAAGAGATAGTCCAATGCCAAATGTTTCATACGAGAATGAAACACAGGATTGGCACTAAGGTAGGTGGCTCCAATATTGTCACAATAGATAGTCGGAACAGACTTGAGCGAAACACCGAGTTCAGTGAGTAAAGACACGATCCATCGTAACTCAGCTGCCGAATTGGCAACTGACCGATACTCGGCCTCGGTAGAGGAGCGAGAATGTCCAGGAAGCTTCTTCGAAGACCACGAAATCGGATGACCACCAAAGTATACCACGAATGCTCCGGTGGATTTAAAATCCTCAGGATCACCTGCCCAATCTGCATCACTAAAGGCATGAAGCGAGGGAGAATTATTCGCCGAGAGGAAAATACCCGTGGTCCGAGAGCCTGCGAGGTATCGAAGAACACGCTTGGCTGCAGTCCAGTGTACGTCAGTGGGAGCATGCATGAACTGGGAGAGCTTGTTTACGGCAAAACTAATGTCCGGACGCGTGAGTGACAAGTATTGGAGACTGCCAACCACAGTTCGATACTCTGACGGGTCTGAAAGGGCATCGCCGAGATGGAGAGTGAGGCGAGATGTCGAAGCCATGGGTGTCGAAACGGCCTTGGCATCAAGCATCTTAGTGCGATGAAGAAGATCTACTTCCTTTGACTAAGGAAGAGACCCTTGCTCGATCTAGTAGCCTCAACCCCAAGAAAGAAAGAAAGGTCGCCAAGATCCTTGAGAGAAAACCGAGCCGAAATAGCAGCAATGAAGTCTCGGATCTGTGGTGGAGAGTTCCCCGTCACTATAAGATCATCCACATAAACAAGCACAAAGAGATTAAAATCGGTGCCACGGAGGATGAATAAGGAAGCATCAGCCATTGAGTTGACAAAGCCTCGAACAAGTAGAAAATTCCGTAGCTCCGAATACCAAGCCCGAGGAGCCTGTTTAAGACCGTAGATGGCTTTCTGAAGCTTACAAACAAAGTCCGGTCGATCCTTGTCAATAAAACCCGGCGGTTGATGCATATACACTTCATCCGAGAGAGTTCCTTGTAGGAAAGCATTGTTTACATCCAATTGACGAATGCTCCAGCTATGAGTAACCGCAAGGCTAAGAACAAGTCGAATGGTAGTGGGTTTGACAACCGGGCTGAAGGTCTCATGGAAGTCAATGCCGGGACGCTGATGAAAACCTTTGGCTACGAGGCATGCCTTGTACCGATCAAGAGAACCATCTGGGTTGGTTTTAACCCGAAAAACCCAACGACAACCAACAATGTTCGTTGCCGAGGTAGACGGTACTAACTCCCAAGTATCATTCCGAACAAGAGCGTTAAATTCATCACTCATCGCCATACGCCAATGAGGATCTTTCATCGCTTGAGAAATCGACGTTGGTTCCCTGTGAGCATCCAAAAAAGAGGCTGTAAGAGTCAACTTATCAATAGGCTTAGATATATTGTTCTTCCGACGAGTTTGCATTGGATGAGTATTCCTTGGTGGAGAAGCAACTGCCACCCGATGATTAGCTCCGCAATCAACAGCTAAATCCGAATCCGAGCCAGACAAGGAAGAACCAGCGGAGTCCGGTGAAGAATGTACACTCAGGGGCATTGTCGAGGATGGCGGAATGACCGGCGGAATGTAGGTCTGAGCTGGAATGACCTGAGGACCGAGAGACGAAGGAGAAGAGGATTCAGAGGAGACCGATGACAATGAGGAAGAAAACCGAGAGAGATCACTAAACGGAAAAATGGACTCATGAAAGACCACGTGACGAGAGACAAAAAGGCGAGAGCGGAGAAAATCAAAACATAAGAAGGCACTTTGAGACGAAGAGTAACCGAGAAAGACACAAGAAGCGGATCTGGGATCAAGTTTGT